CAAGGGACGGTATTGAACACCAAAAGCAAACAGGCTGCAGATGGACTTTTGGCTTTTATTTGTCAAGTTTTGTTTCACGAGGGCAATTTATAAGGACATTTTGTTGTGGTCAGGCATGTCAGTGTGCGTGGGGAGCAGCAGCTGGTTCATCCCCGCTCCGGCCGTCCCCTGTGGTGCTTAAGCCACCCTGGGGACGCTGAAGCAGGTGGTTTGGCTTGGAGCCGGGCAGGGGAGCCCAAGGGCACTGGCAAGGCTGGAGACCTACTAATTACTTTCTTATTAGCATCTAATTAGTATCTCTCCACTTCCTCCCCTCTCCCAAGGCCTCTGCCTCTGCCAGGAGTCACCTCATGCCCAGGCAAATTCCAGGGGATGATTTTCCACCCCGGCTCCATCCTGGTGTTACAATGTCTCCCTGCCCCCAGAGCTTTGTAGCAGACTCCTCAATATTGCTGATGATAATTAGCAAAATATTTACAGATTCCTTCTCTGGAACATCAGGATGAAGGGGGATCCTTCCTTTGGGGCAGGCACAGATGTTTGTGAGCTCTCACAGCTGGCTTCAGCAGCAGGGGTGTGCAGGGTGCCCAATTTCAGCCATGCCAGATCCTGGGTGCTGCAAGGGCTCCTCCCTTCTTCCAGCATATCCACTGCAGGTGGGAAACCTCCTTTTATGGTCAAGCATTTTGGCTGACCCCAGCTCAGACCAGTCCCCTGCCCTCCCATCCACTCCTGCTCCTCTCTCTCCCCAGCTAAGTTGTGTTTGGGTTGAATCCAGCAGGAATCTGGACCCTCCTGTAGTTTCTTTTGCTCTAAATAGAGGCCATTGACTTCAGGATGGGGTTCCAGGATGGGAGAGAGGCTCAAACAACACGCAGTGCCAGGTTCCCATCGGCAAGGCTTGAACCCCAAGGTAACTCCCCAACCCCAGGAAAGCAGGAAATTTGGAGGGAACTGGGGGAAGCCATTGCTTAGTGACCAAATGGATGTTGCAGTGTGACAGTATTTAATTACCTGCATGTATCAGATGATTAACAAGCTAAATTCCACCCTTGGGGCTGCTGTCCTAAAGTCTATGCAGAGCTTGGCAGGCAACATCCAGACATCTCACTGTGTCCACCTGGGACCAGCAGCCCTCCCACAATACATGGTCCCCAAGGGCTCCGAAAATGCATTGCAGGGTGTAGTCAGTGACCAACAGCTGTTTAAGACGTGAGCAAGTCACCTCCAAAATTGTTTCCTGTTGGTCTCAACCCTTTGGAAAGGCCCTGCCAAGGCAGCTGCCATGCCCAGGACAGATGCGCCACATGGCCCAGGACAAGACAGGTGCTGTCTGCTGGCCCAGTTGCTCCCATGCTCTTGCATGTCCAGCTAAGACAAAATTTAGAAGAGATCTGGGTTTTGCTTTTCATTCTCCTGGCATTCTCCTGGCACAGCAGATCTCCCCACCACACTGAGCTCTCTGCTGTAGGGCATCAGAGTGTTTAGCATCTGCTTAAAATTTTTAATTGTTTTCTTTATAAGGGCCTGATGGTGTCTTTTAGATAGAAATGGGAAGGATTTGGCCTTCTCTCCCTCTGTATTTCCCACCCTCCCATTCCTCCTTTTTCTCTTCCTTCCTCCATTTCTTCCTTCCTTTCATCTTTCCTCTCTTCCTCCCTTTCCTTCTCTTCTTCCCCCCTAAAAATTCCCTGATTTCTTCCCTAATGCATTGACAAAACCCCCATTCAGTTTCAGGCAGCAGCAGGCAAGGAGAAACTCAACGATAAGGGCAAAAACAACAGTAAAACTGGAATGAAATGACAGCCATAAACCTGGTACCAGGAGGAACAGTAAAACTGCACTTTGGCAGGAGCCAGCAGGCCTGGACTCATAACTTTTTTTCTGATTAAAACACTCTGGTCACAGATTAACTTCTTTTGTTCAATATTTATTGTCTCACCTGCACTGGAAAGCAGGGAGGAGAGGAAGAGGGGTAGGCAGGACTGGGGCTCGGGATCTGCAGCATGTCTGCAGCTCTGCAGCCTTTGGCAGCTGCCAAGACATGGACATGTAACCAAAGGTCATGTACCTGCCTCCAGCACTTGCCTCTACCATTAAGTGCTCATTCCAAATGGTGCCTGTGCACCAGGGCAGCATCCCAGAACAGCATCCCAGGACTCAACTGTGTCCGCAGAAGGATTCAGTGTCAGAGCTCAGGGTGCTCTGGGTCTCCCAAACACGCAGGACAGGAATTATGATGGAGAGGGCCACTGCTACAACTTGTGCAAGCACACTGGCTTGTCTCTCTCGAGACAAAACCCCAGGAGCTTTGGGAAAGCCATGTCCCTTGGCAGATTGACCCATTTCTTTCAGTGGCATCAGAAAATGGAATTGAAATGAGAATAAATTCCTGGCCATACCCCCTCAAGCATCTCTACATCTCCACATTCTCCACTGGACTTATCCTTTGCTCCTTGCAGAGCATGGGATGTGCCAGCCCAGTGCAAAAGCACTGCATCCCTTTTCTAATCCCTCACAGACCTATTAACGCACCACAGAGGGTGCAAACACCTCCAAGGGACCTTGATGTGGTTTTAATTCATTAACTCCATGCTTGAGCTTAGCCTTAGCTCCTCTTGCTCTCCCCATCCCCCACCCTGCTCACTCCTCCAGAGCAGCTCAGGGCAGGAATTGCAGATGCTGGGGGATGTGGAGTCAGGAAAAGGATTACCCAGTCACAGGGACGCCCAGGATCTCTGACAGCTACCCTGCAGAAACACAATGGCACTGAGGAACCCAATTCCTACAGGGAATCCCAAGAGGCCTCAGTTTCCCTTTGATGCTTCCAGGTCAAGAGCAACAGCTGGGTACCCCACAGCCCCTCCACTCCCCCACCCCTCACCCAGCTAGACTTTTTAATCTCTCTGCCCTAAATCACTTTTTAATTACAACTGGACTGTAACCACTAAAATATAAAAGGCTTCGGGGCTCTACAGCACACCAGCAATGGTTCCTATGAATTGCAATGCCCTTCCATCCACAGCAGCTCTGTTTGCACCAGCCTGATGCCTCCTTGTGCTATAGGAAAGCTTCATTGCTCCCTTTCAGCCTTTCACACCTCCATGCACAAGCTAAAAATATCAGGGCAAGAGGAGGTGGACCTGTTGGGAGGAAGTACAGCCCTGCTCTCACATCTGGCTGTACCCCTGCTCCTCCTCTAACTGCTGCTGGCTTCCACCCCGAGTTTTTCAGATTTGAGAGGGGGTATTTAATTTTTATTAAAAAATAAAAAAATAAAATCAATTCTTAGGCCATCTCAGAGACTTTTTTAGCAGCAGCTGAACTACAGGAGCCACTACCGGCAGCAGAGGGCATCCCGGAACCGGCACTCCTCAGCACGCACTGCCTCCCCAGCCTCCGCCCTAAATCACAACACAACAAACGGGCTGTTCATTAGCTGCTGTTTAATTAAGCAATATGGATCCTGCCTCGATATTTACAATCGCACTTGCTCTGATTTACTGGAGAGAGCCTCGTTTCTAAAGACGGCGACTGTAAAGTTTAATACCGCTTGACTTAACTGCGAGTTTCATTTACGGCCCCGGGCCGAGGCGCGGCAGCCCGGTCCGGGAGCCGGCGGGCTATTAAATCAGAGCTAACTGCGCGTGCAGGGAGATGACGAGCTTCGTTACAACCGGTTCAGCGGCTAATTACCCCAATCTGGATTGCCACATTTAAGCCAATTTGTTGCCGCTTTCCCAGGACCCTGGAGACACGCGTGGTAATTCAGAGGTTGGCATGCAGGCACTGGTTGCGATGAGAAGGGACGAGGGGCTGCGATCGGGAGGGTCGCAGAGCCCAAACGGACACTGCTCGTCCCAGGAGAGAAGAAATCAGTCTGCAAGAGGCCAGATTCCGAGCCGGGCAACCCCTATACCGTGCGCAGGGGCGTTGTGTACAATGATGGCTCCAGCTCCTCCCCAAAACTCTGGGGCACCTGGGGAGCCCTGAGGTCAGTTTGGGATGCTTTGCGGATTCAGGGATGGGGAAATCCAGGCAGAAGGACAGGACCAGCATGTACTAGAGCATCCAGCCTCACAGCCAGTGGCTTTCAGTGCCTTTCTGCCTCCCGAAGCCTCATGGATAGGGATGCACAGGTGGGGCAGAGGGAACACAGCCCTCCTCACAAACTCTTGTGTTGTAGGTAGGAGGAGAGCATTTCTCTCCTTGCAATGTATCTCCAGCCTTCAGGAGCTCGCTCACAGACTTGACAAGGGTAGGGGTCTCATTAGAGAGTTGTGAGAACGGTTCTTTAGTGACAAATAAAAACTATTTGTGCAAAGACATGATAGTACATAGCACAGCATCCTCCCCCACGTCAGCTGTGGTGGCATCACTGTCTACAACCTACCCCTGCACAGCCCCGGGGCTTTCCTGGAGGGAAGGGCTGCAAGGGAGGAGAGCACAGACAGGTGAATGCAGCATTCCTCAGCTCAGCTCAGGGACTGGGATGCTGCTATCCCACACCACGTGCCACAGGGAAGGACAAAGGGGGCAGCAACAGCACCACAGAGACAGCTGACCCACCAGTGCCTGGCTGCATCCCGGCAGCCCCAGCACTCACAGCAGGCACCATGAGGGCTGCAGGCCAGCAGTCCCGGGCAGAGGATGAAGAGGAGCAGCTCCAGGGCTGACCATTCTAGCCAGCAGCTTCCATGCAGTGAGTTTGCCAGAACTCAGTCCTCTCCCAGGAGCTCACTAAGCCTTGGTCTACATCCATTCCTCTCCGCTTCCCACTCCTCCCCAAGCCTGCAGCACTCAGAGACAGACTCAGAGCTCCCCCCATGGAGGAAGAGGAGGTAGCACAGAAGCAGGGCCAGGAATAAGAGGCATGGGGGTGCCAGCACATCTCCTGCAGCCACCAGTGTTACCCACCCCCCCAGCAGTTGGGGGTCCCCACTAGAGACCCTAAACCTTCCATCCAGGGCTGAGAGCCACGAGGGCACAAGCAGAGGCACTTTTGTTTCCAGATTTTATTGTCCATGGTCAGGGGAGGGTATGTCCCTCCACAGGGAAGGAAGAACTCCCAATCCCACCAGTGAGACTGGACTGGTAAGGAGTGTAAGCCCTTTGGTGGTGGTAGGAGCACGCTGTGGAGGCACAGACAGAGCCTAGGATGGTGACAGAGACAAGGAACAGCACCACCTATGTGAGGATGCCACAGGATTAGGCCTGGAGTACCTGAACAGGCAAAACCAGTCCCAAAACCCAGCCCACCTGTGACAAGGCTCAGGAGAATCTGGGAGCTGAGAGGGGTCACCAGGCCTCACAAGATCACAAGGAGTTCCCAGGCCTCAGCTCTCACCACTGCCAGTCAGCTCCTGGCCTTACCAAGCACATAGAATCACAGACCTCTACCATTAACCCAGCACTGCCAAGGCCACTACTAAACCACATCCCCAAGTGCCACATCTACATGTTTTTGAATACTTCCAGGGATGGTGATTCCATCACTTTCCTGGGCAGCCTGTTTCAGTGCCTGACCAACGTTTCAGCAAGTTTTCCCGAACATCCAATCTAAACTTCACCTGGCACAACTTGAGGCTGTTTCCTCTTGTCCTATCACTTGTTACCTGGGAGAAACCTCCCCACCTGGCTACCTTACTGGTAGCTGTAGAATGGGGTAAGGTTTCCCCTCACACTCACATATGAGGACCGGCTCCGCTGTTCCCCATCATATCTCCTTGTCCCCTTCTTTGTAGTGCACCTCAGGGAGGCTCCTCAGGCGCTCAGCTGCCTGTAGGGCACAGCACAAAGGGCAGCCAGCGGCCGGTCCCAGGAACAGCCCTGGCACAGGACTCCCTGGTTCCCCCAATCCCCGTGAGCTGCACTCACCTGCTCAGGGGTGAGGTCCCTCTGTGCCTGCGCCAGCATCTCATATCCCACCATGAACTTGCGGACAGTGGCAGAGCGCAGCAGTGGGGGATAGTAGTGGGCATGGAGCTGCCAGTGCCTGCAGTCCTCCTCCAGGTGGGGGCCTGTGGGGGCTCCTGCCGCAGGTGTAGGTGCTGCGTGAGCCGTGGGAAGGGGACGGGGATGAGAATGAGGGGATTGTGAGGGTCCCCCAGCCACGCCACTCACCGTGCCAGCCCATGGAGTAGGGGAAGGAGACTTCAAAGAGGTTGTCGTACTTGATGAGCAGCCTCTTCATGATGGAGGCCAGGCCTGCAGAAGAGTGCCACCCTGAGCTGGCCAAGCCCCTCCGAGGGCAGGCATCATGCCAGGCAATGAGGCGTGTAACCCTCAGCACCTCTCCCTGGGTGGACATCAGTGACAGACAAGAGGGTTGCACTTGGTAGTTGACCCCCCCTCCCCATCCATGCAGACAGCACAAGCAACACCACAGGAGTTCCCTCAAAAGTAGGGAGCACCATCACCCCAAAAAGGACTCTTCTTACCTGCCTGTGCCTGGACACCAAGCTCTTATCCCAGCAAAACAGGGGTGTCAGTTCCCTCCTCAGCCAAACCCAGTGGCCCTGCACCCCAAGGGGACATGGACCCTCCACCACCAGCACAGCTGCCACAGAGCCACCTCCTAATGAAGGTCAAAGCCCCAAGGACATGGGACAGGGGTTAACAAGGTTCAGAGCCACTCACTGTCCCTCTCGCCCTCTCTGATGTCCTGGAGGCGGCAGATGTGGCGGCGGGGCAGCAGCATGGTCTGATAGGGCCAGGTGGCCCAATACGGCACCACGACCAGCCAGTCCGCATTCTCCACCACCAGCCTTTCCTGCAGGACATGGTGCTTCATGGGGAATTATGCAATCCCAACTCCCCAGGGCACTCCTGAGGCCCAGCTCTTGGGGGCTGGGGCCCATATCCAGCTGCCAGGGAGGGGATATGGACAACAGCCACATCCTGACCTTTCGGCGAGCCTCCTGCTCAGCGTACTCCAGCAGCATGGGCACACCATGCTGGCTCAGGTGCTCACGCTGGGTCCGGTCCTCCAGGCGTGCCTCATTCGGGAGGAAGCTGCTGGCCCACACCTGGGAAGCACATCGGGGCACGGGGCTGGGGGACTCGCACCCGCCTTTGCAGGGGTACCCCCAGCCACGCTGCCCATCTGGAAGTCCCTGCTGCCACCAGGTGGAGAGTCCAGATTACGGCAGCCACAAGTGACAGTGCCCCGGGAGGAGAGGTAACTGGATAGGCATGGGGTCTCCTCACTGCACGGAGGAGGGGGGAAGGGATTGCCGTTCACATCTTCCCCCGGGAGTTTGTTGTAGGGTCACCGACAAGGACTCACGGTTTAGCCAGGTGACAGATTGGACAGCCTCACCTGACAGTGGGGGTGCGGGTTGGAGCAGCCCATCATCGCTCCCTTGTTCTCGAAGATCTGCAGAGGAAGAGGTGCAGCCAGCAGGTCCCGGCCACAGGGTCCCCACTGCGAGTTGCTGTGGTGTCCCCAGCAAGGCAGGGAAGCATCCGCAGGGGAACAGTGCCTCACACCCACATGGAAAGGCTCAGCAAGGCACAACGTAGGGATAGGGGACCCACACACAACTAGGATGGTCCCAACTCCTGGTGCTGCCAGAGTACCCAGCACTGGCCCCCGACCTCCAGCCAGAAAAGAGCAGCCCCCACCAGTCCCACACCTGCACCCAGGGGTAGGAAGCACCCAGGTCGGTCGCCAGCTCTGCCCACGCATCAATGACAGCCCGGATCTCTGCCAGGGACATGAGGGGCAGCGTCAGGTCTGACCAAGGGTGGAAGCACATCACCTTGCTGTGGAGGAAACACATGTGGCTGAGACTGTGGGTATCTCCAGAGATCCTCACAGTCCTGCTGGGTGCAGTGGAACAAGGGACAGTGACAAGACCTCCAGAATGACCCCAAAATAGTGCAGATGTGCACAGAACAGGCACTGCAAGAGGGGAGCAGGCTCAGTCCAGCATCACCTCGCAGGTTCTGGACAAATTGTGTCCCAGATTCCCTGGAGCCATGGAAGTACTTACCACACACCCCTGGCTGGGGCAGCTTGGAACAAGGGGTGATCACTGTCATCTAGGGAAGGACAGAGAGTAGAGAGGGAGAAGGTGCAGGGGCAGCACCCATGTCTCTCCAGGCCACCTTGCAGCCCCTCCAAGACCCAAGTCTAGGGGTCCCCAGCAGCCTGTTCTACCCCCAGAAGTTACCAGGTTCTGGAGCATCAGGTTGCAGCGCAGGGAAGTCATTTGGGAAGACAAAAGTGCCCTCGTACTGGGGGTTCACCTGCCGAGGCGAGAGACGGGATCAGGATGGGAGAGGGCGTTGGGGGAGCCCCCTGGGCCCCTTCGTGGTACCTCGCCGTTGGCCCGGGTGGCCCCGGGACAGAGGGGGTTCTTGGGGTCCCAGCGGGGTACATCCTCGGGGGGCGGCTTCTCCAGCTGCCCTTGCCAGGGGCGTTTCACCCGGTGGGCCGATACCAGCACCCAGTCGTCCCGCAGAGGGTTGTAACGAGCGTGCTGGTGCTCTGCGGGCAGGGGAGAGCAGCGGGGCGTCAGAGAAGGACGCGGGGGGCAGACCCCCCTGCAGATGGGTTACACAAACACTCACCTCCCACAAGAGGAGGGCATGCAAGAGACTTTGAACCTTCCCTGCTTCACCCCTTCCTCCCTGTCCCAGTCCGCTGCCACCCGCCCGAGGCAGGGAGGGTTCCCACAGCTCCCGCTTCCCTGGGTGGGCTGTGCTGCGCTCCACCGGGGGGTCCGGAAGGATAAAGGGAGGGAGGGAGGGAGGA